TGTCAGATCTTTTTTTCAGTTGCAGCATGTGGAATCTTTGGTTGCAGCATATGGAATCTAGTCCCTTGACCAGGGGTTGAATCTAGGCCCCCTGCATTAGGAGCATGGAGTCTTAGCCACTGGACCATGAGGGAAGTCCTGGATATTAATTCCTAGCATAAGCTATAGTAATTAAAGCACTGTGATAATGGTGTAAAGATTTACAAACAGGTAAATGGAGCAGAATTTTAAAATGTGGGAACAGGCTAATGTGTGTATGATTGACACACATATTGACAACTTGATTTATGACAAAGTTGACACTGCAGGACAATGAGGAAATGCTAGTCTTTTCCATAAAAGACGCTAAGTCAGGGTATCTCTCTATGAGGAGAAAATGAAACAAAGTCCACCTCATACAGAAAAACACTGAATGGATTATAAATATGAATGTAAACACTAGAAACAGTAAATTTATGAAGAAAAGCAAAGTAGCATGTTTTAAGCATTAAGTATTCAGAAAAAAAGACTGTTAGGTTGGCTTACATTAAAATTAAGAACTAAATACATCAAAAAGAGAAAAAAGCTCAGTACAACAAAAAACACTATTAAGTGCAAAGAGGAGAAGAGGATGTGAGGACAAAATGTATTAAGAACTCTAAATCAATCAGAAAAAGATAATCCAACAGAAAAATGGGCATTATCACTCAAGAGGCTATCCAAATGTTCAATTAACATTTGAAAAGTTGTTCCTTAATTTCATTTATGAAATGAAAAATGCAAAGTAAACCTTTCAAAAGGACTCAGTGTGAAAGACTGACAACCTAAGTGTATAAACAAGAACGTGAAACAACATACACTCTGATTATGCTGCTAGTAGTCTGAAACCTGTATGCATATCTAGAAGCAACAGTCAGAATCTTGTATGGAACAACTGATTGGTTCAAGATTAAGAAAGGCATACAACAAGTTGCTGTCACCCTGTTTGTTTAACCTATATGCTGAGCCCATCATGAGAAATGCCAGGCTGAATGAGTTACAAGCTGGAATCCAGACAGGTGGGAGAAATACAACAACCTCAGATATGAGGATGATACCACTCTAATGGCACAAAGTGAAGAGGAACTGAAGAGCCTCTTGATGAGGGTGAAGGAGGAGAAGTAAAAGAGCTGGCTTAAGACTAAATAATAAAAAACGAAGATCATGGTATCTGGCCCCATTACTGCATGCCAAATAGAAGGGGAAAAGGTGGAATTAGTGACTGATTTCCTCTTCTTGAGCTCCAGAATCACTGCGGATGGTGACTGTAGCCATGAAATTAGAAGATGATTGCTTTTTGGCAAGAAAGTGATGACAAACCTAGACAATGTGTTGAAAAGTAGAAACATAACTCTGCCGACAAAGGTCTGTATAGTCAAGGCTATGATCTTCCCAGTGGTCATGTATGGTTGTGACAGTCGGACCATAAAGAAGGCAGAACGCCAAACAATTGATGCCTTCGAACTGTAGTGCTGGAGAAGATTCCTGAAAGTCGTGGACAGTAAGGAGATCAAACTAGTCAATCTTAAGGGAGATCATATGAAAAAGACATGTAGAAGGATATTTACAGCATCATTACTTAAAATAGCCCTCAAACGGTAACAATCTAAATGTCCAACAATAAGAGATAAAAAAAATTTTGTATATTTGAACAATGGATTGCTATATAATAATGTAAACAAATTACTGCTATATTATATGCAACAACATGGATAAATCTCACAAATATATTGTTGAATAAAAAAGCCAGATGCAAGAAATGCCAATAATATGAATCTATTTATATTAAGTTCAAAAGAAAGCAAACTTGGTTGCTTTGAGGAAGGTTGAGGGGACTGAGGCTTGGGCTCTTGAGTTGCTCAGTCAATTCAGTTCAGTCGCTCAGTCGTGTCTGACTCTTTGCGACCCCATGAATTGCAGCACGCCAGGCCTCCCTGCCCATCACCAACTCCCGGAGTTTACTCAAACTCATGCCCATCGAGTCGGTGATGCCATCCAGCCATCTCATCCTCTGTCGTCCCCTTCTCCTCCTGCCCCCAATCCCTCCCAGCATCAGGGTCTTTTCCAATGAGTCAACTCTTCGCATGAGGTGGTCAAAGTACTGGAGTTTCAGCTTCAGCAGAGTTGCTAGTAATGTTTTATTTCTTTGACTTACATAGTGGTTACACATGCTCAGCTTTTGGTCATTTAATGATCTAAGCACATTGCTGTACTTTGCTGTATCGGAATTTAAAGTATAAAAAATATAGTTGGGTTAGAAAAACAAGGATGCAAAATTAATAGTTAAGGAGAGACAATAATCCTAGCTACATGAAACAAATTACCAGTGTATGGTGTGCATCAGAACCCCCTTTCTTCCTTGGGGGTGGTTCCTAATCTTTCCTCAAGCTCCCTGAAGATAGGCTACATTCATACTTCTATTTATCTACCTATAGCACCAAACACCTAAAACAGTGTTTAAAATTGTTGTTTAGTTGCAAAGTTGTGTCTGACTCTTTTGTGATCCATGGACTGTAGCCCAATAGGCTCTTCTGTCCTTGGGATTTCCCAGGCAGGAACACTGGACTGGAGTAGGTTGCCATGCTCTTCTCCAAAGGATCTTTCCTAACCAGGGATTGAACCCAGGTCTCCTTCATTGCAGGCAGATTCTTTATCATCTGAGCCACTAGGGAAGTCCCAAGAACTCTGGAATGGGTTGCTATTTCCTTTTCCAGGGTATCTTCCCAACCCAGGGATCAAACTGGCATCTCCTGCATTGGCAGGTGGATTCTTTACCACCAAGCCACCAGAGAAGACAGTGTTTACAACAGCTCCTCAATAAATGTTGTAGAATGACTGGAAATCTGCTGTTTAGTCAGTTTGTCCTGAAAAGAAAAAGTGAGCGGGGGAAGGAGTGAGGGGTGGGTGGCACAGGTAATGATTTTTAGAGATGCTATTGGGGTCCAGACCTGGCTAAAAATTTACTGCTATCAAACCTAAATTTATTGCTATCAAAGCTAAAAATATTTATTGCTATCAAGTCTATTTATTGCTATACTTATAAAGTACTATTGTTAAAACCTACACAGTCTCCTAATAACTCAGCATATATATTAATGTAATATGGATTGTTAGAAATGCTGGCTGGATATATTTATTAATTGAAAAACAGAGTTGGTATCTATTCTGGATTTCTTAATAGTTAGCGTTTGTTGTATTATAAAATGTTTGGTTGTTTTATTAGCCTGGCTTTTCTTCTCCCAGTTTTTTATTAGATGGGAGAATTATGAAAAAGAGAAAAACAGTATAAAGGCATGTGTGGCACATGTATAACTTTTTTACTACATATTTACATATATCTATAGATAGATGTATAAATATGGGCTTGGGTAAAGACTGGCTAGGTAATGATGGTGGGGAGTGGGTTCAAGGAAAAGGCAGAGATTTCCTGAGTGCTATACAGTTTGGTGAGAAGGGAAATTGGCACAGAACTGAAATTCCATTGTACTAAAGAAAACTGTTCTTATAGTCATATAATCATTCCACAAATATTTACTGAATTCCTTAAATTTGCAAAATATTGCTCTATTACTGGCAATACAATAATGAAGAAATCAGATAAGAGCCCTGCAGTCAGAGAGCTTCCATTCTAATGTGAGGACAAACATTATATTAAGCAAAATACATAATTATTTCATGACAACTGTGATGAGTGCAGCTGAAGTACATGTGCTATTGAGGTGTTTGAAGAATGAGAATATAAAATTAGGAGATCAAAAGGGAAGGACGTTTGAACAGATTTTTGAAGTAAAAGGATTTAACTGGTGATGATGGGGAAAGGCAGGGGCATAATTCCAGGGCATTATATGAAATAACTCAGAAAAGACTTGGTAGGAAAGAATATAGTATGTTCAAAAACGGAAAAGATCAGCATGATTGGTGCACAGTGAGCAACAAAGACCATGGACTGGAGCAGGACTGCTGTCGCAAGCAGGGGCAAAAAGCATGCAGGGACTTTGTTAATAATTTTATTCTCCATCTTAATAACTGCTGGATGTCATTAAAGGGTCTTAAGCACCCACCCCATGTAGGAAGCAGGTTGGTATTGCAGAAAGTTTCTGTCTGGTGATTGGACCTAGAGAAAAGATTATAGGCAATTAACCTGAGGAAATTAACCTTGGATTGGCTTCCTTGTGCATAAATTGTGAATCTAGACTATATGATCAATTAGGTTTTCTTCAGCTCTAAAATTCAAGAATACCTCTGTATATTCAAAACTAGAATGTCAGTTACAGGTCCGCTGACTTATCTTTTAGATCCAATGAAGAGTCATATGTTAATCTATGTTACAGTGATAGGGCTGAAGTTTGACTAACTCAAAGAAGGCTGAAAAGTTGGGAAGTTGGGAAGAAGGCAGTAGCAACCAGATGCAAAATAAGTGTAATCAATCTTATGAGTACTGAGAAAGTAGGCAGAAAAGAGCAAGGATAGGAGAATTCAGCTCACTGGAACGATTTAATTTAAAGGCAACTAGTCAAGAGGAAGTTTAGGAGGGGGAAGGGATGTCCATCAGCAAAGCCCTATCTTCATTAGCATCTTGCATTCCCATTCCTCCACCATTTTGACGGTATAATTGATAATTCTTGCAGCTTATCATACATTGATACGCTATGCAGAAAGTTTAAAGTACCTCATTTCTTGAGATTTACTCAAATCCTTTGTATTTAAAAACTCAGGAGCGGAGAATGAAGGCGTCTCCATAATGTGAAGGAAAAGAAAGAGTGTGCGTGTGTGTTTTGGGGAACAGGAGGTAGAAGAAACTATAATTCCAGAGTGTTAATGCTAAATAGGCTCTTGGAGATCACTGATTAACAAAAACCGTCGTGGTGAGGTGACTTTCCCAAAATGACACTAAGTGAAGGAGCCTAACCACAGACCAGGGTCCTTGCGAGACCCTCGGGGGACTCTTCGGGTGGCCCTTTATCTGTGAAGCCGAAAGCCCTCTAGCCGGGCCAGAGGAGAGTACAGAAGGCTGGCCCTTGGGTAGCCTGGGGCTGCCTGACTGCCTGGGGCTTTCCTCCCTTCCCCGGCCGCCCGCTCCGTCTCCTCTTCTTTCCCCTTAGGTTTCAGCAGGGAGGCCACCGGGTGCAAGATGGACACGGCGCCCGCCACGGGTCGCAGGCGCTCGGAGAAGCACAGATTCTTCTGGATAACCGAAGAGACATCAAAACAGACGGGAGCGAAGTGTTTGGAGCAGATGACGGAGCTGTCACCACAACGGTACCAGTTGGCCGGCGGCCCCGCACGAAGCTGTCCACAGCAGCCGCATGGCCCCGTCTTTTGGGAAAGCGAAACAGCAACTTCCCGGACTTGGTGGTGTTGCCGCAGCGGATGGGCAAGGCAGCGGCCTCGGGGCTGGGGGCCGGGAGCTGGGAATCCGCATCCTCAGCACGGCCTCGCACTCCCAGCGCCCTCACCTGCCGACTCCGTCTCTGCTGCATCTTCTTTGGCCGCGAGAAAATGCCAAACTGCGGCCCCTACCTTGGAGAGTACCCGGCTGTTGGAGGTCCTCCTCCTTCCAGCGGTCTTCCCCTGAGAGCAGGCAAAGGGATACAAATTTCGCGCGGGCCCAGCTGAGGTGGGCAGTAAAGAGGGACGGACCGGAAGTGGTGGTTGTCATAGCTACCGAGGTGGCCGGCCTCTTCCTCGTTTTATTCTCCTCTTCACCTTAACGGTCTGTTTTTTCTGAAACCGGGAAACTAGAACGAGGAAATGCTGACATTTTGGGCCCTTCAAATGGGCCTTCTAACGAGAGCATTGACCAGTGGATTTGGGGGAGGACCAGACCGGAAATGAAGGTTTCCATGGTAACTCCTGAGCGGGTTGCCTAGGAGATGACCCCTTTCGGTCTCTGAATCTGTGCTGTAGCGTCATTTCTAAGGCAGATCTAACTGATCTTCTTGGACTGTCTCCTGCCATGATTCCCGGGAAATACCGCTCTGTTTCTGGCCGGGCTGCAAGCAACGTAGGTTGGGTTTCCTACTTTCTCTTTATTTCCATTCGCACCGTCCTTTCTGACTGGCGTCTTTGTCCTAGGTGATGAGCTGTATTGAGACCAGGACCGCTCAGTCTGCTTAAGCTATTGTCTGACCGAGGCTTGAGGTTCGTGGACTGGACCAAGGCACTTGGAGGGTATTTAACATTGTGTGATGGGTATTCAAAGTCTTGTCCAGGATCTGCGCTTCCCAGAAGGTGGAGCTGGTCTGCTGTGAAAGGCTAAGCTTCATTTAAATTCCTTTAACTGGTCAATTCCTTTTTTTTTTTTTAATTCATAAAATATTAACAGGCACCCCCACCTCCTTTACCTGTCTCACTGAGATATTTACTTAGACCTCAAATGGCAGGTGACGAAGGCCTGAGGTGCTAAGTAGAGGGTTAAATTGCAGACATTTTGGAAGCTAAATCACAGTGAAACCTTTTAATTATTAGTTGCAATTTTATTGTTTTCAGCAAATATCCAGAACATGATAATTTACCAGAAACAAACAAAAAGTGAGCATTCTGTTTCATTCAAATTTTTTTGGTTATATCTTTATGTACTGTTTTGGGGAGGAGTGTGTGTGTGTATAAGTTAAGAGCATATTTTATGGTTTAATTTTTACATTGTAGGTGAACTGTGGGCTTCATCTGGTTATTCAAACATCATCGCTTCCTGAAAAAAACAAAGTAAGATTCAAGCAGATTTGTATTTAGATTGAATATAAATTGTTTTATATTCTGCACAAATAGCATGATTTAAAGAGCAGAGTCTAAACTGGAAAATTTAAGTATATTTACTTTGGTCTCTACTTTGAAGCTAATTTTTATTTTTTGCCTACACAAATCCAACTAGTAGTTACCAAAGAGAGGGAAGGGGGAGGGGCAAATTAGGGGTATAGGATTAAGTGATAAAAAATATTGTGTATAAAATAGATAAGCAAGAAGGATATATTGTATATCTCAGAGAATTATAACCATTATTTTGTAATAACTTTTAATGGAGTATAATTTATAAAAGTACTGAATCACAACATCATGTATCTGAAGCTAATATAGTATTATAAATTAACTGTACATCAATTTAAAAAAATCAAAACAAAGCCAAAAAAACCTCACCTCCTTTACAAACTGAATCTTATTTCATCAATTGAAAGATGTAAGATGGGTTTTTTTTTCTTTTTTGGCATTTAAGCATTAAATCAGAATCCTTCTTAAAACTGATGGCAGATCATATTAGTATTTTAATTGGGAAAGTTTTTCTTTCTTAGTAGTGGGTAAAATGATGACATGTTTTACTACTGATGGACTCTTACATTAGATAAAATATGATAATTTGGGGGCCCATATCTAACATTCCAGAAAAAATTGATTAGCAGTGGAAATTTATTAGGCCTAATGAGATTTAGAAATTAAGATTTGAACATTCTTTTCCCCAAACAATTTGCCCATATTCCCCCTGGCATTTCCTTAGTTTCTGGCTTTTGATTTGATCTTTGAGATACACATGTTTTCTTACCCTCTTGTCACCTGAGCACTCAGATATACTCACCCATCTCCCACACAACTATGTCTCAAGACACAACACAAATTTTTCTTCTTTGACCAAGTTGGACACCTTCAACTGGCACAATTCACGTTTTTTCTAAAAAGTTTTAAAATACATGTTACTGGAGGAATTCTTAAATGAAGGACAAAGAAGATGTGGTACATATATACAATGGAATATTACTCAGTCATAAAAAAGAATGAAATAATGGCATTTGCAGCAACATGGATGGACTTAGACATTGTCTTACTGAGTGAAGTAAGTCAGACAGAGCAAGACAGATATCATATGATATCACTTAAATCTAGAATCTAAAAAGGTACAAATGAATTTATAAAGCATTCTCTGAACATCATGTCTTGAATGTTTTTTAGGTTGAATTCAAGCTAAATAGAGAAACGCCATCATTCCCTGGTCGACTCTTACAACATGACCTGGAAAGAAACTACTCAAGTAGACAAGGTATTGTCAGAGAATAGAGATCAGATATGATTTATCATCTTTAAGTAATATTGTTTAATAATATTGAATTTCTGGATCCAAATAGACTTCAATTAAAGATGACAGTATTCATTGGTTACCAAATTCATTGGGCATTTGTTTAAATCAGAATTGATTTTATGTAGACAACATAGTAGGTTTTTTCTAATATAGGAAAAACTGTCATATTTTAGTTTGGGGTGGGCTATACACAAGAGAATTAGAAAGAACCTTCCAAATAATGTCTTAGAATTAGGAAAAATAGCTAATTAGTGAGGGTAAGACTATGGGAACACAGATATTTAGTAAGTAAGGACACAATGGAAAGAATGGAAAGTCAGGAGTAGAAAAGAAGCTATCTCTTTCCCTTACTAACACATATAATTATATCAAAGGGCTTTGACATTTGTGTGCATCATGCAAGATCTTATTAGGAATGCAGATTCTTAGTGCTTCCCTCATCCCCTTCCCCATTCTGACTTTGTAGGTCTTGGGTGGGATTTGGAAAAGTGTGGTTTAATAACTTCTCAAGAGATTCTGATGGATGTGGTTTGTGCACTACCCTTTGAAAAACAGCCTCATATGATCTGGTTATATTTCTGAAATGTATTGTTCAATTCAAGGAGAAATCTTCTTTAGAACTTTTGAGTTGTTACTTAGTTGTCAACAATTGTTAGCTGTCTGTAATGTACTAGTCTTAAGCACTGCAAAATACTTACATACAGTACTGTCCTCATCTAGGATTTATTGCATGAGAAGGATAATCCGTATAGGCCTCTCTAGATTGTTCATCTTACATGAACACGTGGCAATTTTCAATATTAACTTTCTTTTTTTGTTTTATAATTTCTGGACTTTCCTCTTGGGCCCAGCTAATCTGACATCACTTTTCTGTTTCCTGTATCTTGAATTCTTCTCTTGGTCAATTGCTGGACATGACATTAACCTAACCACTGTTCCACAGTGCTGAGAACATCTGTCTTCCCTTCTTTGGTTCAGTTCAGTACATATCCATTGAGTATGTTCTGTGTGCCAGACACTGTATTATGCACAGAGCTACAGATGTGAACCTGAAAAATTTCAAATAGAATTTTCTTGTGTTTACATTGTGAACTTCCTTTACATTTTTGATAATAACTCTTAAATTTGTTTTCTGAATCATTAGCCAAACTTAAATACTTTCCCCAGGGTATTCTTGAGTTAGAAGATGAAGTTGGTAGGCAGATTTGTGTATGTCTGGCTGAATAAATTTATTCAAGTGTTTAAGTATTTCTAGATATTTGCGAATGAGGAAATAGTATAGAAGCACTGAATTTTGTGAACCTGAAAGATGAATAAAATCCTATACATAAATAATGACCCATAAAATACATATTAATTCCTTAGGGAAAAATAAACCTATTTTTTTCATTAAAAGATTTTATTCAAAATCATTCTCTCTAAAATTGGTACCTGATTGTTTCCAAATGTGCCTCCTTCCTAGTTCCAGGCAGTTTTATGCAAAGAAGGCCTCACAGTGTGTAGCTGTATTCTTGACTTCTATACTCACTGTTCTTCCTCCAAAGGCACAAAACTTTGGAAAAATTTTAAGTAGCAATTTATCAGGAAAAACGAGGGAATCTCTATCTAATAAACTGCATTCTGATTCTGAATTATTATAATTTTACTTCATTTCATATTTTTTTGTTTTTCAAAATTAATTGAACAAATGTCATAAATTAACCAGTAGTACTCTCAGCCCAAAGTAAAGACGCTCTTTGTTTTAGTTAGGCTACTTGGTCTTAAACTTGGTATATGTTTTCTTTTAGGCTTTTTATATTAATGTTAAGAGTTAAGCCCGTATCCTTGAAGTTTTGTAACAGCCAGGGACTGCTATACAGTAAAATCTCAGTTCCAGGCCTGAATTAACTAAATCCCTTGAATAAGAATGCCAAAATATGTATATAGAGAGGAAGAGGTAGTGCTTGACTCTTAACATCATGATGAATCATGAAAAATACAAAATCAGAATTTTGATTACCAACACAGTGTTAAAGATAAGGCTGGGTGGACAAGCATATGAACATGTACTGTATTATCCATCTATCCAGCCAAACATCTGTCCATCCCCCTGCCCATCTCTCTGTCTATCCATCCACTCACCCATCCATCTCATCTACCCCTCCATCCATCATATATCTAGGGTGTGGTGTAGTAAAAACTCTTACCAAATATATACCATTATGCCTTTAAACACTTTGGGATTCTAATTATGAAAGAATTCATTCAGAATTTTTTATCCTAAAATGCAAGAATTTCTGATGTTCTTTTTTAACAGAAATAACATTCACAAAACAGATTTCTGACTTGCTCTCAATAAATTGGAAAGTCAGTTAATTTAATGATTGCCTACTGAATTTAGATTCTGCAAAGAATATAAAGAATATAAAATGAACTCC